GGTACATTATCTTCATGTAACTTCAACTGTTAGCGTCCCCCTGCGTTACCATGTCCTCTGAAATTTTTTCCGATATGTTTATCAGTTTCTCCCAATAACTTTGATATGACAAACACTGAACGTCAGTGGGTCGCAGTTGGCCGCATCATTTTAAGTTGAATTTGAAGCACAAACAAGTGCCGAAGTTAAACTTCATTGAAACTTTTCGAAAAAAGAAAAATAGATTTCCCATATGGTGCGCACTTTAATGGTGACACTATATATAATCATTTCATTCCTTCATTATTCTTGGTATACGAAGCTCCACAGATTCTCCAAATACTCATCACAATGTTTATTTTAATAAATAATAATTTATTACTTCGTGTTGATGGTATTGTTTCACTTCTGAATTTGACGAAGTAACAAATTTTCATACACCGAAAACGAATGAATGGTTCTCGCACCTAGTTTTACAGTTGCCGACAATACGTTTCAGGTTCAACTCATGCATATAAAGTAGGTATTACGCACAAACATTTAACATTCTATTCTTGAATGAAGCGGGGAAAATGTTTTAATTTATTCCTGTAGGTATTAGAGCAACTTTCTACGTCACCATATTGTATTCCACGTAGTTATTCCAATGGAGATCTTTCGTTTAAATTTGTTGATTCCAAAAGCACGACAAATATTTCCGTAGATATACACAACCAAACTTATTATTATTCACAAACTGTCTATACTAAAAAAAAAGCTTTACTGTTACTTACCATTTTCTATATTCCGAAAAAAAAAATAAACGACTCCAATTTAGGCTGGCATACTTTTAATTAAATTATTCTTAGGCTGAGTTCTTTTGCCTCTCCTATGCTTCTTGAATTAAGCTAATCATATATTTTTATGAGATTCATTTATGAGATTTGAGCACATAAGACAAGCCTTTCAGTGTTGACGCTCAGAACAAGAATTCTACCATCATCTGATATAAAGCCAATTTTATTTTCACCTGAAAAAAGGTAAATTTTACCAATTTGAAATATTTTTTTTCAAAGAGTATAATAATAATAATATTTATTCACCATTTGGAATAATACAGTAAGTGATCCAATGGATAAAATAGAGTGAATAAATCAGGTTGGACCCACGAAATGAGGAATTGCACTTGTTTGTGAGAGAGAAAT